TCAATGACCGGGCCCGAGTCGTGCTTACCCCGCCAATGACATCCGGTCTTGTTGGCAAGACTACCCCTTGCTTTTTGGGTCATACAAGTCTGAATCGCTCACGAATACAAGCGACAAGTAACAAGCCTGCTTCTTAAGAAAGATGCATAGTGTCTCACTCAAACTTTTTAGGTTTCACAGAAGTCAGTGGCAGAGTGGCTAGCTGGCTCGGCCACGAGAGGCAAAAAAAGGAGTTTTGTGCACAGCATCCAACTTATTCACGCTCCCTTCATAATCCCTTGTGCTAGCCCTTACCTCAGATAATGTGTCTGGCTGAACTTAAATTTCATGATAGTCGGTTTTCGTATGTTCTGTTGTTCCCTTGCTGGTACTGGATTTCTGTCCTACTCAACCTATTCGTCAGCTGTGTTCGTCTTGTCAGACCTCTTGAAGGCTTGCCACTGTCTGTTGTAAGACTTAGAAGTGACAGGTTCAGGCGCACGATGGGCAAACAAGATTCTGAACGTACTGGGCCGAAACCCCTTCAATGTGTTGTTTAATAGGGAGAGGCCTGATCAGGTAATGCTTTCCTTCCTACGTTCTTTATGCAATGGACCAGACTAAAACAAAACATCGACAGCATGCACAAACTATACCTCATGACTGACTATTCACGATATTGGCGCTTTTTGGTCTTCATATTACGGAACAGCTGGAGCAGCAATCTGAAAATCCAAGACATTCCACAAATGCATAGATGAGAACTCATTGGGTAGTGAAACTTGACTTGGCTGAATATCTCACTTCATATTGTCATGTATCAGGTCTGTGGTCACCTTGATGGAACCACTTCATCAGCGACCCAGGGCAACTGCGGGAGTGTCACTTAACTGCGAACCATCTTTGTGTGACATGCGCTTGTGTGGCTTCACTTTGTCAGTTCCCAAAGTATTCCTTGGATTAGTGCTAGCTATCCAATTAACTAGTCAAAGCATGCCTGCCCAAAGCAGAGCCGTGTACTGAATCTTATAATGGACAGTTTTTGGCAGAGCAGTGACAGGCCCGACAGAAGGGAAATGCCAGATTGATGGAAGCCCAGGATCCGATCGATACAGCAATGCAACCCACTTCCGGCAGCTGCATCTACACATGTGCCTATGCGGCGTTATATCAGACAGGTAATCTTACAGTCCCAGATTGTAGGGGCGAGATGCAGATTTAGGAGGTTGGCTCGAAAACATGCAAGAGAAAGTCCTTTAGAGCAAGACAAAATCCAGACTTCTCCAGTTTTGCTCTAATACGCGGCTCACCCGAGTCTCAGCAAATCCCTCTTATCCTCCTGTATATGCGCGGAAGAAAATCCTTCATCTTATCCCTTGCCTCATGCATGCTTCCAGAAAGGTGAAGGGCAGGAATAAATAGCGACTGAGCTCCATCTTTCTCCCTCACGTCAAGCCCCATAATCTCCACTCCACAAGCCCCCATAATAGTACCAATCCGTTCCGCCGTTAACCACGCGGATCTGGTCCGGCCACGCGAGACGGGAGTGGCAACGGCACGAAAAACTCAACAAAAGCACAGAAAAACATGCGCGTACGCTACTGTAAGAGCCTCGTCTCTCGACCAACAGTTTCTTGAGAGTATGCAATGCCTCGCATATGCATACATGATGCATCCTTGTTGTCTCTCATTGTTGTCGCAAGAACGATGACGGCCTAGACACTCTAATATTGCAGTATCCTCGCTGCCGCAGGAACCCGGAGCGCCACAGCTTGAAACATTGCAAGATTTGTTGTTGACTGTCAAGTTTGACGTCGGATGCACCGCTGGCTTGGCTCTGCAAGAACTGCATTTACTTTTGTTCCTTGTTTTGCTGCTCTTGCGCGCTGATACTTTTTCTGGTCCTTCTACTGGGTGGGACTAGGAACTTCAGCATTGGTCCCATCAATCCATTGTGGACGGGACGGTCTTGTCTCACTGTTCTTGATTCGGACGAAGCATTTCACTCACTGAGTAGTTGCACTACGGATCGTTATGGGAGCCACAGGATTACCCTTTCCAATGGAGGTTCGTATCTATGCTGTCGGGAGCATAGTGCATGTTTAGAACTATGAGGAGTATCACCAGTTTCTCTTCAGGTTGACCAAACTTTCAGAAATCGCCTGTATAATTCCCACAAGCCATTGAACATCAATCCAGGGTTACCCAATAAGACAGGGCAACTTTACTTTGTATGTTTACTACACACTAGCTATTGGTATTTTACTTCCTGTTGAATTTCATCTTTAATGTTGTATGACATATATGGGGGGGTGTAAACAGCGTTCAATAATTGTGTCCGCAGATGAAACTAGAAAAAATAAAACCAAGATTAGCATTTTACATTTTACATTTCGGCCGTATTGAGTGGAAGCCTTCCATGGGATGATCGAGATAGATGTTACAGTAGTTTCATTAAGTATCAACATAAGTATGTGAATCTTGACCGTTAGCTCTCATATAGGGTAGGGTAGTGGCATCTAGCAGCAGGTCTAGAAAACAAATAGCAGATGTCAAAGCCGCACAACAGACTTCACGATCTCCTGGTGATACTATTGGGTAATATACAAGAGTTTGTGTACTTGAATTTTCAAGTTAAATACACTAAAATGATTCAGATACTCCAGAAAATAGCCTACCTTTTCATGGATATCTGGCAGTAACCTGTTTAATCCCCCAAGATACTATCTATAAGCCCTCACCGCCTCTTCTTCTTGTGCTATATATGAACAGATCATACATGTAGGTATAGGGCTCAGCTCAGCCTATTGCGTCTTTGTATTAGTTATGAGATAGTAAACTAAGAGAAACCTGGGGTATGATCTGAGGGCTTGGTGTAGGTCCTTATTCTCTGACGAGTTGGTGATTCAGAGGGCTTTCAGACGACTTCCCATCCATATCCATTATCAAGGGCATACCATCTCAGACTTCTTCTTTTATTCTTTTAATCCTTCTTCATCTCCTCCATTATTCAAGCATACCACTCGACGACGAAATTCCTTGTTTCCACTAGATCATACCAGCTATTATTCGGCCTTCTTATCTACCGACCCCATCATCTGTTTTCGCTGTTCATGTATACCTTCGAGGACGAAATTCCTACTTCCGCTGGCTCATCCCATCTATCAAACATATGATCCCCCGACTATACCCTTTACTTTATTTCTGCCAGGGTAACCTTCACTACTTGGACATGGCTGAGCAACAAGAACAGGATTGAGCGTTCAGCTGCTCTGGGCTGACCTACAACACAACCAAGCCTAGATGACCAAAGTCACTGATCACCTAAGTCCAGCAGGAGAACAGGACCTCCAAGGGATCCATTTCCCCCTTTAATACCCTGGATACTAAGGTATCTCAGGATGCATCTGGTGACACGAATGTCAACATTGATATGAGAACCACTAACATGTAAGGGTCACCCGTCACTGACACGAGTGCCATCTGCTAATCCACATTAACAACAAGACGTCGCTCTCATCATCGGCAAATGTTTCGAGAGTACAACGCTGAGGCCCTCGATGGATACTATTTGAAGAACACTTCACGTGCAACATTGTTCAAACTTTCAACAACGGAATCCACGCAGACATTAAAACCAGAGACTCTGCATTTACTGTGAAGTTGATCAAAGACGAAAGTAAGAATATCAAATACTTCATCGTCAAGAACAAAAAGAACAGCCTCTGCGAGTTGAAACATCTCTCTTCTATAAGGTACCATTTTAAGAAGTGTACGGTTTATTCGGAATTCATGGTCGGCGAACGATGTTGTGTCCGGGAGATTTAACAGATCAATCTCGCGATACTGTTACGAGCTACCAAAGGGTATCGTTGAAGATTTGGAGAAACAAGGCTCCCCTGGATCTTCGGAGCTGTCTGAGAGTGACCCTTCAACTGTCATAAAAATACTAGCGCCAGAAAGTGAAGCAAATACTTCGACGGAAACCGAGTCTATGACAGCAATTGCTTCGATGGCGAGTTTGGACTTCTCTAGAACCTTGCTGTGGCCTTGGGGGCAGAAGAAGTTGCGCTGAGCCCGTCGAACTTGGAAGGTCACGCTGAAGCAGTGGGAGAAGAAAGCATCAGAAAGATTCAACAGCTCGGAGAAGGCGGTACGACTATGACGGCCTTGGCTGGCTTCGTCCATTTATTGTCCTTCGTTAATAGCCGAAAGTAGATCTTGGAGTCCGAGATGTTGGCCCATCAGCTGTCGTTGACGAGTTCCTCCGTTCACTCATCTTACTGTTCTGTGATAAAACGTCAACCTCGACCTCAACGGCGATCTGTCGCTCGCAGATGCCATTGTCCACGCGTATCGAATTTCGGAAGCAATCGCACGTGGCCTTTTCCAGGAAACATTGGTTAGTAACAACACAAAGGGCCAACATCCCGCGTGGTCGTCACGGAGCAGTCTTTGGCACCTGGAAACGAGGGCTGCATGTTTGGCCGCCTCCGAACACCCGAGGAGGTTAAGGAGGAACCTCGAATTTAATGACAATGGAATGCCATCAAGACAGCACAGGCTTATTCAACAAGCTGAACAGAATGAGACATGAGATAGGTAGATTAGAGAAGTCTGATAGACCTGACAGGGGGTTTGACGATTGGCAGATTTAAGCCGGCAGTTCTGTCTAGATTTTCTTCCTAGGACAATGGAAGGCGTAGATATTGGAGAATGAAACGCTTTTAGGGTTTATATATATACCCAGACGGAGCTACACGATCATAACAGCAGCTTATGATGACCATTGAAAGCATTACGGCTTAACCTCGTAGCACTTTTTCTGTCACGATCTCTTAAAGTCATTCAAGGGCGATGTAGTTATCGGTAGGTTTGACTAAGGTCCCGAAGTAGGTAAGGTGGGTCTGCATAGGTACCTTAATACAGGGTCGGTGGCTTTGGAAGCCGCTACTTATCCGCCATTGGCCGAACGACGCCAGCCCCGGTATAGTAATGACCCCTCCAACTCGCTTTCTATTGGAGCCCTGGGGCTCAGCGTTTCGGTTCCTGGCTGATTGTCTCTACCACACCGTCATACCTCGTCAACCTTAACCATCACAAGCCATCCATCATGTCGCAGAACTCAGTCGTCACTATAGACTCGAAGCGTCACTTCGACTCGGTCCTCAAGTCGTCACGCATAGTCATCGCTGACTGTAAGTATCTCCTATCAAATTTACGATCCTTGCGGTAGTTCTAGAGATACCCCGCCATCCCAGTCAACTTATCCTGCGATGCGACCTATCATTCCCTTCTCACAAATGATGATGATAAAAGCTAACGAATGATTCTTTCAAGTTTACGCCGATTGGTCTGACTCTTCCAACCAGATCGCTCCTATCTACGAAAGATTCGCCAAAGACGTTGCGCAGCCGAATCTCATCACGTTGGTCAAGGTTAACAGCGACAACCAACCAGAGCTCTCGCAAGAATACAAAATTACAGACCTGCCAACCTTCATCGTTTTTGCAGATGGAAAGCAGGTCGACCAGGTCCAGGGGGCCGATCCTCAGAAACTTAGGGATACGCTCATGAAAATACCTGCCTTGGCTACTTCGCTCAATGAGAAGACCGCCAGAGAAAATGCTGGCTCGGCCAGCGGTGGTCCCAGCTGGAAGGGTATGGAAGCTCCACGAGGCTACAACGACATCACCGACCAAATAGAACTCCGTGATCTGGAGGTTCTCAACGCTGATGAGAGCGCCGGGACTGTTCGAGTTCTCTTCGATGGTTCCAAGCCAAGCGGTCTCGGTAACGGCAAGGGAACCTCCAAGGACTACGTGCAGAGCGGTGCGGATGACCAGCTGCTTTTGTACATCCCTTTCCAGTCCATTGTCAAACTCCACACTCTCCAGGTCAGTTTATTGGTCCTTCACGTTGCACCATGTCCGACACTGACTGACTGCGTATAACAGCTCACTTCCCTCCCTCCCAAGGACGACGAAGACGTGATGAGGCCCGGCAACATTCACCTGTATATCAACCGCACTCATAACCTCGACTTCAACGAAGCCGACGATACCGAACCAACACAGGCTATCGAGATTTCTCCCGAGGATTGGAACGAGGAGGGAACAGTGAGCCTGAGCTTGCGATATGTGAAATTCCAGAAGACATCGAGTCTTGTGATCTACGTTCAGCAGGGTGAGGGTGATGGAGAGACTGTTCGTCTCGACAGAGTGAGACTCATTGGAGAAGCTGGAGCCAAGCGAGAGATGGGCAAGCTTCAGAAGGTGGGAGAGGACGAGTAAGGTTTCTCTGGTAGGAGTCCTGTGGTTCGCAATGGAATATCGGCACATTTTCCTTGTGCCTTAGCATGCATTAAAACATAGCCTCGACAGGGAACAGGTAATAGGAGTTTAGGAGCAAAAGGCGATCAAATAAGACCGCCCAGTCAGATAGACACAGTTTTAACTCCCCCACTGTACAGTTCTGCAATTGTTGATTCTGTTCTCTCCAACTTCCATGATCGAACGGGATACTGACGTAAGTCTTACACATACATGTCACGGAATAGAAATTTTGATATGTCCTGCCTCCCAACCACGACTAAGATGTGTGAAAACACCAAAACCAGACGATGGTAGGGCGGGCCTGCAATTATGATTGATCTGGGGCATAACTGACGCTGCGATTACATCCACGGAAACAAGGATTCGAGCAACACGGGTATAAAAATTTCATGTTATGCCAGCCGCACGAAGAAGAAAAGAAGAAAAGAAAAGCTCTGCTTCGACGACGCGTTCGAGATTTTAAGCCGCTGAATCTGAGCATGGTCCGTGCGTATCTTACTCGGTTAAAAATCGTTCCGATCCCCGGGCGGATCAGCTGTAGGGTAACAGAACGCAAAGGGTGAAGTGTACAGGGTGATCATGATGTGAGCCATATCGATATATTGACGTGTGATCATGATACATTCTCTTGATTCTGTATGACCCGGGTGGTATGTACATAAATTTTTTGAATAGTGCGCACATGCTCGCTAGACAGGGTCGAGCTCTTTGTTGTCGAGCTTGATGATATCAACCACTGTGGCCATGATGAAGATATACCGGCTGCCAAGTCCACATCATGTCATGATGAGAATTCGATGGGCATCATACCGATGATCGGAAATTCGTGGGAATAAACATCATAAGATTCATCGCCATGATTACTTCCTATATTGTCCGTCATCATCAACTGATTCGCGTGCGGACACGGGATGGAACCCCGCGATTCGTGCAAAAACGACACTTTAAGCTTCATGATCTGTCACTGTGGTTTACGTTATGCCACACATCAACCGGGCCGGAAGATTCGAGCCACATGAAGCTTATAGAAAAGCGCCGCTATAGATTATGGGGTGATTAAAGTGCGGCACCAGCTGCAACTCTACTCTAGCATTATGAGAACACTCGTCACTCGCACGCCTACAACGCACAAGCAACTCAATTTCTTGAAGCCTGCGGGGTTCAAAACGAGGAAACTGTTTGTACTGTCCTACAGTGGAGAATATAATCCGCCATGGGCTTTGTTGCTTTCAACAACTTACCAGCCGAGATTCGGTCTATGGTCTGGGCATACGCCCTACCAGAGCCTCGAGTATACGAGATTCTTGACACGCCATTTTCAACGCTCAAGACCCCGGCCTCTACAGGGCTCATGTTCTCTAGCAGCTCGCATGATGCGCCCCCTGTACTGGCAGCCGTATGCAGAGAGTCCCGTGCCTTCGTGCTTCGTCGCTACCGGCCACTAACACTCTCCGACACAATCAAGTACATCGACCCAAGCCGAGATATAATTCTGCTTCAGCCTTACCTCTTGATCAAAAGGCTATTGAGAACTCTGCATTCTCTCGCAGAGGTGGACTTCATGAAGAGAGACCTGCGCCAAGTGGCATTTGGGACATCCTATGGATTCAGCACTGGTATCTACCACCCCATACTAAGCGGCAAAGTATCCAAAAACAACATGAAAACGCTTGTGAAAAAGCTCGCAAGGTTCTCCAAATTAGGGAAAGTTTTATTTGTTGTTCATGAGGAATTCAAGTGTGTCATCTCAAAACCCCACAGAGCGGAGTCACAACTTGAGCTGCAGCTTTTATCCAGCAGCTTTGTGAAGTCCCAAGAAGATGACCAGTCACGGACTGCTTGGCATTTTCGTCGGAACGAGATACTATATTATCCTCTTCACTTTGAAGAAGAGGTTGAAGAGGACGAGCCTGACATAGAAAAGTCTGTGTTAGATGGTGAGGATGACGACGTGGAGCTGAACCGCAAGCCGACGAACGATGATTGGAGACGATTCAAAAGACGATTCCTGAAAGCTGTACATTCAACACTGATGAGAGGGCTACTAGAAAAGCCAAGACGAGAGCACCTTCCTTTCCTGATCGAAGGCGCAAGTCTCCTATGGAGATATGAAGCATCATAAACGGAATTTCCCAGCGCCACAGGATCATCACCAGGATATTACGACTCAAGCGTTGGAGTTGCGCCCGTTGTAACGACGTTAAATGCCGATCATTTGGGCTATTTGAGTCTGGATTCAAGGGACCAGTCGTTGTGTTGACACTATCTGGAGCACTGCCATCTTGGGTGCTTCGATTTGTGTGTGTGTGTGTGTGTGTGTGTGTGTGCGGAACAACACATCAACTAATGACGGCAGATCTCCGCACCTACAGACGCGTTCTCGGCCGGGCTCTGCAGTGATGTGAGGCATCCCTAACCTCTTGTGGTCCCAGTACGCGCGCCCTGCATTGGCGTCAAGGCTGCCATGAGTTAAAAGAGCCTCTGGCAAGTTCCGAGCGAAAAGCTTGGTATTCGGTAGTGGTTGTTGGTGGCGCCCGGCATACGGATGCACAGACTAGCGGTTCAATTATGAGAATTGTCTGAGTGTATGGCGTTTTCGAGAAGGGACTGTCCCTATTGTGGAAGTTTTGAGAGGACATACAAAACAAGTTTGTCTCGTTTCCCCTCGGTAGATGTTCTCCCACATCCTGATCGGGAGTTCACAGCAAATATGATTGGCTGAGCTACGAATGCACTATCTTTTTGCATGCATTGCTTCATGAATTGCCAATAACAGTTAAGGCGCAAGACGCTGCTGGGACCATGTAGTAGAGTTTCTACGCATGAAACATGCTGGCACTTGCTCTATGAAATGAAACATCTTCTGCTCACACTTCTGAGGCATTCAATGCATAATAGCCAGAGAACTCTCGTTGAATTTCGATCCCTGGATATTTTCTAGAAGAGGACCCTTGAAGAACAAGGACAAACTTTGATGGCCAGCGAAGCTAGCTGGCATTGGCATTCGGTAAGGTCACCGAGCTGGGACTTGACCCCTGTCGAAGCGCTTGACTTCAATTGGATCAAATTTACGGTGCGCTCGGACTTATCGATATCTATCATCGAAGAAGTGGATTTAAGCTCATCAAAACGTGCAGTAGTAGCTTCAGTTGACCACTTAAACGATGACGTCTCTTCGCCAACTTCACTAGGCTCATCTCAAAGATGCAGGTTTCTTTGCAGTACATACACGAATAACCACGACAGTCACAAATCTCCAAAACCCGAATTCGCCTAATACGCCACCATTAAATGATAACGAGCTTGTTTTGACACCAAACGGCAGAATGACCTTGGTATCGTCTACAGTGGCTTGAGCACGGTTGCATTGGCACCAATAGCCAATATCGCGGCGGCCCGACAGCTTTCGGGGCGTATACCAATGAGGTCATCACCATTGTCATTCACACAACAATAGCTGCAAAACTTGCGTTATAGTAAATGCCGGGGTATGGCTCTGTGGGTCTCTGCGTGTCAGGAAATCTACATGTTACATATTCTCCTCAATCGGAAAAGGAGGCTGGACGGATTTAACATGATCGCTGGTGAGGCTGTCAACTTTGACACCATTTCTGCAGCTCGCACCAGGAACAAGCAGAAAATCCACTGTATTCGAGACCAAAAACACGCAAAATAGACTCCCGACCATGGCCGGAACCAGCCTAGGCCAGGCCCAATATGCAGGGAACTAACTCATCCAATCAGATTGAACCGGCGCCGAACCCTTCTTAACGGGTTCATATGCCGGGCATCAAAGACTAAAGACCACGGAGGAGGCGCCTTTGACACGTTGAGTCCCCGTTCGCCATGCACAGTCAACGGTCCGGCATGCCGTTGCCGATACATTACCGTGAGGCTCTATGCGGAGGTTGTTGTGCTTTCTATTACCACCACTATTGTCGATACTACCGTCACTGTTGCCGCGCAAGCTGAGCAACTCCCACTGGGCTTGTTGGCCCCCTGGCTCTCCTCTGTTATATCATATCCCACTTCATGATAAGTTATCATGTCGTCTCTTCTGCCAGTCTTGGCCCCCCGGCTTCCGGGCTGTCCGCCGGCGGTAGATGACAGGACCTACACAAAGGAGCACACAGAGGAGGAGTGGGAGAGTATGCGCAACGTCATCAGGAAGCTATATATTCAGGAAAATCGGAAGCTGAACGAGACTATGGCAATCCTTCAGGCCAGATATGGTTTCGCAGCAACGTGAGTGAGATCCACGCATGTGGTGCCAGCAAGGTCCAAAAACTGATTCGTCTTTCAAAGGGAGCAGATGTTCAAGAAGCGTTTAAAGAAATGGGGCTTAAGAAAACGTACATATCGGAAAGGTCAACCTGGCTCTGCAGCTTCCACTCCTCTGGATACTACTGAATGTTCCGGGACGAGTACATTTGACGAACAAAGCTCATCCTCATCCTCAGCCTCTCCAGAGGAACACCAAGATGATCCAACTACGTCTATGGCTCTGATACAGCCATCAAATACTGGCCCCTACTCTGATTTGGAACAGGTTCTCGGCGGCGTCTTCAACTGGAGTCAATCCAAACTAGAAATCTTTCCTGTCATGTCAGATCCTATGTCAGAATACTTAGCAACCCCAAACTCCCCCCCTATCCGAGACAGTCGTACAATGTACCGCATCTTCGAGCTTGTTTTCGACCTTTGGTTCCACGGAAAGGGTGACCTTGCTGGTATGGCTGCACGAAGAGGGTTTTACGTGCTCGAATTTGTGTTGAGCGATGATCACCCCGACCTTATCTGGCATGTGCTAGATACAATCTACGATATGGTGGACCGAGGCCATCTTCGACTTTTGGCCCTTTTCTTGGATCATGCTACAGTACTCGCGAAACGACAGCTGCCTGCTCAACACCCGCTCCTCCTTATTCTCCAACAGCTTCGTTACTGCGATTATCAATCAGATGAGGGAAGGAAATACTTGTGTCATTTGTTGCGCCAAGCCTGGCTACGGAATGTTAATCTCTTGGGCCAACATATCGAAACATCGGATGCCCATCGACTCTGGCTTTACGAACAACTGATTTGGGATGGGAGAACACGCCTCCGTAGGGAAAGCGAACTTGGCAAGCGGCAAGATGCGATGTATCAGGCCCTAGAAAGGATGGCTGAAGCACAGAGTCAGGCCTCATCTGCAACTGATGCGGATCAGTTACGAGTCGAAGCATTGCGACTTGAGTTCACACAGATGGATGTCGGTGACAAGAAGAAGGCTGAGGAGCTAGCCATCAATTTACTCGATCTTACCAGAACCGAACAAGGACCCAGATCCAACGATCGATTTCACGCATACGCATGCAAGATGCTGGCTCGAGTACAGGAATCGAGGCAGGAATGGGACACGGCCGAACAGAACCTACGGCATGCCATTTCGAAAAGAGAGGTAGCGCACGGTGCGAACAACAACCTACGAGTCATCCGTGATATGTGGGTGCTGGCAGCGCATTATCAGAAAGCTGGGCGACAAGCAGACGCCAACGAGATCACAGCTGATGCGTTATCGAGAGCCCAGAGATACTTGGAGCAGGATGTCGAATAATCAAGATCATCAATGTACCGTTCAGGAGTTATGTGTTTAAAATGGGGTGGTTCGGAACAAAGCTATTAGGTTTTGGGCGTCATGGCATAAGATACGGGGGCGTCGAGAATTGGCATATGATTCATTCATGAGTAATTTCCACGGCAGTTACTCAGCGAGTAAAGTTTCTGGTTTGTCACGAAAGAAAAGCACAGCGATGATTAGGAGTATTTGGTATCTTCCTTGAGAAGACATTGGTTGGAGTTCTAGTTTGAGATACCCAACGTTCCATGAAGCGAATTGAAGTTGAAGAAGTTGATTTGATTGGATCGCCACATTGACGCAGGCACCGCCACAATGACGTTGACACTTCCGCCCTGGGATAGCCGTCTATGGCCTTGATTCAACAACACTCGCATTACATACCAACCTACCACCTGCGACTTGGCATATCCTCGCGAGGAAAATTGTAGACCTTTCGCTCGTTAGAATCGACTCTAATTTTATTGTCTTTTGTAAAGACCTTTGTATTACATGAACTCATCATGACTGCTGGAGCTCCCCCGAACTACTGTAAGCTGCCATCATGACCCCACTACATGTGAATGCGCCAGAGTTAAAACTGACTAGAACTTTATGTAGATGCCATTCTCGAGGTCTCTGATACTGCGACCACTCAGCAAATCCGAGATGCTTACAAGCGGTATGTCACTTTTGCTTTGCAGTCTCGACTCGCGACACAACTAACCCCGGTAATCAGCGCTGCCCTAAAGACGCACCCTGACCGCGTCTCCAATGACTCCCCAGAGCGAGCCGAACGGACACGAAAGTTCCAGCTCGTCAACGACGCCTATTACACACTCTCTGACCCTGTACGCCGTCGCGAGTATGATGCTCAGCGCAAACTATTCAACACCAGCACCCCTTCAGATCCCTTCGAGGACATTCCTGAGACGGAAACTGAGGGTGGCGCCGCGCCGCGACAGAGCCCTTATTCCTGGGCATGGAACTTCTTCACCAACCAAGGCCAAGCCCCTGCTCAGGATCGCGAGCAAACCGAGGATGCGCAGTTTAGTGATGTATTCGAGGAGATGATGCGCGAGGAGGGCATGGCCGAGGGCAGGGATAACCACCCCACTGGCAAATTCTGGAGTATGGTGGGTGGTGTCAGCGGCGGCGCTCTGGGGTTCATCGTAGCCAATGTGCCAGGTCTTGTCGCAGGAGCCGTTGCGGGGAACAGACTAGGAGCTGTCCGCGATGCGAAGGGTAAGAGTGTCTACGCTGTATTTCAGGAGCTTCCCCAGGACGACAAGTCAAGGCTGCTCAGCCAGTTGGCAGCCAAGGTTTTCAGTCATGCTGTTGGTATTTAAGGTCGAGAACCTGGAACGGATCAAGGCTGGGTTTATTGGGCGCTCTCGGAGTTGGGTCAGTATCGGCAAACACACGATTTTTAATGAGCCGATGGAGGTTAGTACCTAAGTAGTTTCTCAGGAATACACGTATACAATCGATAATAAAGATTCACTGCGCGTACCCATACCGTCCCAGAGAGACTCGTATCATATCGGGTTTCAGACTTGAACGAACACGAACTTTCTGGGCAGAGATATTCATATCTTACCATGTGGCTTATGTTATCCAGAATTAGCTTCAATGAACAGTAACTCACTCCCGCTGTATGTCAACGACAACCAAAAGAGATAATGAACACTCAGCTTGGATCATAATTTTAGCTGTTTGATGTCTTTTCATGACGTACCGTCTTGTTAGAATAGAAGCATTAAACCCAATTGCCCAGTTCTCTGCCTACTTCTGGGCTAATAAAGCATCCCGAGAACATCCAAGTTTGAAGTATTAGCACACAAGGCGCTTCTTTGACTGACCTGGTGCCAGGTGACACCACTGTCTAAAGCCACAAACTGATAAGATCCAAAGCCGAATTTGCTCTGGAAAACGTGACCAACTTGCCAGTTTCCTGGTTTTATTTGCGGAAGTGGTGCCAGAATAGGGATGAGATTTGGAAAATATCCTATATTTATCATCAGACAGTAAAATGATTCTAAGGATAAGGTAAGGATTAAGAAACTAAGATACTTGGATCTTGTTATAAACGTGATGGGTTGTTACTATGCTCATTCAGACTTACTGTATGGAAAGCTTGGCATCTTATTGACCATTAGCTACAAGTTCTCTTCATGGTGGAATTCAGATCAATGAGTTATACCTATAGCTTCATTGAAGTCTCTGCTATTTATTTTAAACACCAATGACTTTGGCTTACTTCCTCTATCACTCGTTCTAGACTGAGCGGTTGCATATGGTATTGTCCGCAATGAGATATGGCTCTCGACCTATCTTTAGACGAAGCGGTGCTCCATATGATAACAGTTTATAATTCTACCACCCTTGCGAGATTCTGGGACTTGATTACGACCTTCACACCATTCACAGACCAGCACAGTTGAGTAGTTCGGATGTCTTTCGAGCACATGAAGGCTCAAGCTTGGGTAAACAAATGCAAGGGGCACAAAACAGACCAGCAAAGGATCCCGCTCACGCTTGTCCATAATCTGTTGACACGAAATGTACTGTGGTAGTTTGACAACACCAACTCATAATCTTGGAGCGGCCTATTATCCTATAAAACAACAAATCACTTCTAGTCCAATGCACCATCATGCGCCTCAAGTGCTCCGTATAACGTCTTGGCAAGCTTGTTAACATTGATGGAGGACGGTAAAGTGCCATGAAGAAATTCACATACATTTTTGTGCCAAGCTCATGATCCCAACATTTATTCCAACCACGACGTCTTGGTTCGACGAGCAAACAAGACATTCTCAGTCTTATTACGATATCGAAGCCTCCTCACAGGCTATTAAAATTTGCCCGAAGTAACCAGTGCCTACATAACCTATCTTCGGGGAGGAGGCTGGAATCCAGGCGGTGGGGGACCACCAGGGTTGAACCCGGGAGGAGGGAACTGGGCGCCTCCAGGGAAACCAGCTGGAGGAGGGAAGTTTCCAGGAAAGCCAGGAGGAGGAGCTTGGAGACTGTTAGAGACTCTTCGAGGGTATCGGGACTGTTTGAACTCACCACCACGGCCGGGAAAGCCAGGAGCACCAGGGAAGCCGGGGAAACCAGGCGGAGGAGCACCACCAACACCAGCAGCAGGACCCTTATCAATATTAGCAATTAATCAGGTAACTCTAAGGGGAAAAGAAACACATACTGCGAGGGAGGGAGGGGCAGCTCCTCGGCCAGCAGGACGAGCAACACCAGGGCCAGCGGCCAAAGCAGAAGGAATTCCACCAGGTGCACTCTTGCCTAGTCGAGCACTAGGATCGGCGGGAGGAGGCGACTCAACGGAGAGGGAGATGATATGGGCGCCTCGAACGATCGTGAGGCCAAGAGTTCGCTTCTCCTCAGACTCGATGGTCTGGGTAGCTGAACCACTTGCGCCAGGGGCAGAGGGCTTGTTTTGCTTGCGCTTCACGCGCCGAAACTCTTCCGTATCCGCAAGTACAAGGTTCATGTGCTGAATTCTAGTTAGCCTTGGTCTCAACAATAATGGCTGGAGATGTTGTACCTTATCGAAGGCAAGCATCTGACCGGTCATTGCCCTTCCATCATTAAGAGTAACCCGCATCCGCCAGTTGATCTGTTCCGTCCTAGTCAGCTTGGTTGAACGATCGCAAAGACGTAGCATTCGAATCGCATGCGCGTCGGGGTATACGTACGTAACCGGCCTGGGAAAGAGATATGGTTAGCATATCGAGATCAAGCAGCTCAAAACGCGTAAGAGTAGGGGGGTAGACGAACCATCTTTCCTTGTTTGTTCGACATTTTGGCGGTATTCTGAGAGCGTGCTGAGGCAGTTTCTCTGTGTTTCAAAAATTGATGTTAGACCGCGGTGTGTTTGCGCGCGATCGTAACAACCTTCAATGCCTGGAGCTCTGAAGGTGAGTTATGAGGTCCAAAATCTGCGGAGCCTGATGCGGAAGGCTGAAAGGTACACCGACAAAGTACCATTTCTGCGCTAGGACACTTTGGATTAGCGCTAGCCCCACTTCTCGAAACGCCGAACCCGGTAAGGGCAGAGAAACCCTCTAAATAATTGCGAGCTCACAAAAACTGAAAAATTACTCTTGCAACCTTCGCGATCTTCGACAACTCCATCACCAGGTCGACTAATAACAGCAGCCATGGCTTCCGAGAAGGCAAACAACCCCATGCGGGAGCTGAAGATTCAGAAGCTCGTTCTGAACATCTCCGTCGGAGAGTCTGGTGACAGACTTACCCGTGCCGCCAAGGTGCTGGAGCAGCTTTCTGGTCAGACCCCCGTCTACAGTAAGTTTGCCAATTTTGGACATGGCGATGCAATTCCACTGACTGAATTTTTCAAAGGCAAGGCTCGCTACACCGTCCGAACCTTCGGTATCCGACGTAACGAAAAGATTGCTGTCCACGTTACCGTCCGAGGCCCCAAGGTAAATTCACACATCAATATTGGAAATGGCAAAGAGCAGAGATGCTAACATCCAAAAGGCCGAGGAGATTCTTGAGCGTGGTCTCAAGGTCAAGGAGTACGAGCTCCGCAAGCGCAACTTCTCCGAGACTGGCAACTTCGGCTTCGGTATCAGCGAGCACATCGATCTCGGTATCAAGTACGACCCCTCTATCGGTATCTACGGCATGGACTTCTACTGCTGCATGACCCGACCTGGTGAGCGCGTCACCCGCCGCCGCCGAACCAAGTCCCGCATCGGTGCCAGCCACCGCATCAAGCGCGAGGAGACCGTCAAGTGGTTCAAGTCTCGCTTCGACGGCATTGTCCGATAAACGGTTGAAAAAATTGGTTGTTTGAATTTACGGATGGTCACGGCGAACATTAAGGGGAAAACTCACATGGGACATGTATTTTCTGTTGCCTTTGCTGCATCAGCTTGACTTGAAATTTTCAGTCGAGCCACGGCCTGAGAGACCGACCGGCGCTCTGCCGGCTTTCCGATATTCACTATGAATGTGACATTGCCATCAATCGTCAGATCACTGGTACTTTGTCTACTTGGCCTCTCGTCTGTTTACGTCTACGCGAGACGTTATAAACATGTCCTCCGGGGACTTTGGTGCATCACTTGTATCCTTGATGATTTCTCCTCTTTGGAGTAATGTCAATGCTCCTGAACAATGTGTGACTGTTATATTCTGAGTCATTCCTTGTGATGTTGCATGCTTACCGATTGGTAATTTGTTGTCAACGTAGTGGTGACCGGCCAGCTTGTATGTAACTTGAATAGAGCTTGATGCTTCCGATGCCAACACCGTATGATGTCAGGGTTATTTGGCCATGAGTTATCAAATTTGGGTGCGAAAAGGTCAACTCTGTGCGCCAAGAATTCACAATCGTTCCCTGTCAACTTTTTCAGGTTATCATCTCACAGCAAGCGCACAGGCAACTGCACCTAGCGATACGACTGTGAAGGTACTGGCTCTCATATTCCAAGATAATTCTGTTTCGTATAGAAGGGATCAAGATCACGATGTTTCCCCAAGTGCAAAGGAAAAAAACACACACCTACCAAGGCAGGAGTACCATAGCGTCCATGGCGGTAAGAAACCCCAAGACCTCAATCCTCAGAGACAAAATGACTCAGGTAGGTTGAGAATAGCTTATGGCGTCTGATGATCTTTAATGGCTGGACGCTCTACTATGAGATACGGATTCTTCTCGCCCTCGGAAAGCCGTAAAGTAAGAAAACCGATATCCATAGCTTTCATGGGTCATTTGTCCTATTGTGGATGCACCCCAGATTAACGGCATCTGATATCTTGGGGCACATCGGACCTCCGTCAACAAAAACCAGTTAATGTGGAAAATCACAAGCAACAAGGCTTCGAGGCCTCACAGATGAGTTTTAGATCGAAAATCTCCGGCGCAAGGCTACAAGATAACAAGCGTGCCCTGGTTGTCAGCTACCAGAGCTCGCCATTGATCAATTTGACGGGTAAAGTGTTGGCCTGGCGTCCATGATAGCCTTGCCAGTTGGGCCATTCACATTGTTGCTCCGTAGCTGAGCCAGGGAAGGCAAGAAAACCTAGGACCTTAATCCTAACTGATTAAAAAGACTTAGGTAAATTAGTAAGAGCTTAGGGGGCTTTTTGACGAGTTTATTTGGCTTCCTGAGTTGAAAGTACCTAAGGTCTGAGGTTTTCTTGCTTCCCCGAGGCCGGGCCAGTGCAAGGCTCCACAACGAAAACCACCCACAGCTTGATGGATCAAAGCTCCATGAGGCATCCCCCTGGTCCTGTACGACTGACTTCAACCTTTTGCAACCGCATATCTCAGGCACTAACTTGTGTCACTTACCCGGGTAATACCGATCATTCGGCGGTACGGGAGTTGGCTGGGATGAAAGAAGTCGATTAGTAGGCACGATGAGGTTATTGGAGATTCAGAGATCAAGATCAGATCAATTGGTGACACAGAGCGAGAGATGATAGCAATTGGCCATCTCAATCTTTTCCGTTCTCTTATCGATCTCACAGATTCTGTCGAACGTCAGCTCCGTGGGCGAAATGAAGCTCCGAAATTCAAGCGGGTTGGAAAAACAGGCTAAGAAATTGTTAAGGCTGCTTCGGAATATCCAGGCAAAACCGCGCATTGAATCGTGATTGGGCCGTCGGAGCAGCTGAACCCCACTCTATCCCTCAGACAGACTCTGCTCTCCATCACCATCCTCCTCAAAAATCTCCATTTGCTCTCCTGTAAAGGCAGCACCGCACTCCCCAATCTCCCCTCCTCCCAATTGCACCCGGCTGCAATTGCTCTCCTTTCATCTCCAAACCTCCCGTATACCTCTAATATGTTCCGGAACGCCCTTCGACAGTCGACACGCGCCGTCGGCGCTGTCTCTGCTGCTGGCAGGGTCGCCGCGGTAAGTTAAAACGTGCTCTCCCGAGCCCCCGAATCGACAATGCCATCGACCAGCGCCCCCAAACATCGTGCATCCATCGACAACCCATCGAAAGAGCTCAATTGAGTAGTTGGATTATGCTTTTCAGTCTCGCATGAGCTTTTTTGAGCTATTTGGGGCCGCTGTCGCCGCTGACCGGTCGAGGACTTTTTCGGGCTTCGGCTAACTTGTTTTTCACCACCAGGTCCGAAATGCCGCACCCGCCTCCATCAACGCCGCCCGATTCTACGCCTCCGACGCCAAGGCCACTCCTACTGAGGTTTCTTCCATCCTCGAGCAGCGAATTCGTGGTGTTCAGGAGGAGTCCGGTCTCGCTGAGACTGGCCGTGTCCTCTCCGTCGGGTATGTGGATCTCCACTGGGAGCAACCGGAGCAAGGCGCAGGTGGTGCATAATGTTCTCAAACAACAACACCACACTGTCAATGGCCCTGACGCCCAGGAACGACTCAATTGAGATGCAACCAATACTAATACTCAATTTGCAGTGATGGTATCGCCCGTGTTCACGGCATGGCCAACGTTCAGGCCGAGGAGCTTGTCGAGTACGTACTGATCAAAATATGGAACAGTTCCGTCATGCATCACATAGCTAACTATGTAACAGGTTCGCTTCCGGTGTCAAGGGAATGTGCATGAACCTCGAGGCCGGCCAGGTCGGTGTTGTGTTGTTCGGTTCTGATCGTCTCGTCAAGGAGGGTGAGACTGTCAAGCGTACCGGCGAGATTGTAAGCATTCTTGAATATCCTGGATAATCAGTTTGAAACTAACACATTACCAAGGTTGATGTCCCCGTCGGCCCTGAGATGCTCGGCCGTGTTGTCGACGCTCTCGGTAACCCCATCGACGGCAAGGGCCCCATCAACACCAAGGAGAAGCGCCGTGCTCAGCTCAAGGCTCCTGGTATTCTGCCCCGAAAGTCCGTTAACGAGCCCGTCCAGACTGGTCTCAAGTCCATTGACGCCATGGTTCCCATCGGCCGAGGCCAGCGTGAGTTGATCATCGGTGACCGTCAGACCGGTAAGACTGCCGTTGGTCTTGACACCATCCTCAACCAGAAGCGATGGAACGATGGCCAGGATGAGAAGAAGAAGCTCTACTGTATCTACGTCGCCGTCGGCCAGAAGCGATCCACCGTTGCTCAGCTTGTCAAGACTCTCGAGGAGAACGACGCCATGAAGTACTCCATTGTCGTTGCTGCTACCGCCTCTGAGGCCGCTCCTCTTCAGTACCTCGCTCCTTTCACTGGTGCCTCCATCGGTAAGTTTTTGGCTCCTTTGTCTATCCATACAATGTTATTCTCTGTTCAAATCCCATCTTTTGCAAATGATACTATTGCGTCGACATTGAATAACGCAATGCGTTGCTGGTATCACGTGACCCATCCCTTTTATTTGTATTCACCTCTTTCCTTTTCATTTTCATTTTGTCTCCTTGTCATCTCAGCGTTTTCGACCGGTGGTCATTCCAGGAAAGTCACTTTGGGTTCCTTCCTACTTTCAAGCCCGACGTCATGGTTTCTCGATGGTCCTTTCCTTTCATGGGATGCCTCTTAGACATGGCACCTATGCACCTTCCCCCACGACAGCGATGAGTTACCCACCTGGCGCCTTCCCAACCGGATTGTTCTTGAGAGAGGACCAGCGGGATGGTTTCCTAGCTGCCAGCATTTGCCTCATTCACTCTCCTACAACTCAGAGTCATTCTCGGAAACTGTGTTCCCTGGCACTACTTTAATCGCCTCTCGCATTTTAAAGAGTTGACACACACTATACTCTGGCACCTAGTTATCCATCCCCTGCAATCCGCCAGAGCCATTCCTGGAAACGCTATACTTCCTGGCGCTCTCCCACTCATCCCCTCTTTTCTGACAGAGTCATTCCGCCACATGCTCCAGTCCCTCATCCTCTTGTCATCCTCCGTCGACTTATGATATCAACATGGCGCATGACGACGAAACATCCTCTCTTCATTTTGTGGACTCAATTGAGGATAATCGTCTTGTCTCAACAACCGAGACTCTCCAGGGAGTACTTGACCAGCGTATCATGCATATGTTCGGCATCGAATTCGAGCCATGGTTTTTAAATCCAAAGTTTCCGAGAATATTCGACGCAGAAACTTGGGAGTTTATCGCGGACTCTTGCCCACTTGTCTACCCGGAGTCACTCGCAACCGCGCTCCTCATGGATGAGCCACCCACCATTGAGTACTTCAAGTCACTCCCGCTACCGTCCGTGAACTTGAACAAACATTGGGGCATCTACCTCCACATACTTAAGAAGAGTGGCAATAAGCCCCGTTTGTACGTGGGCTCGGGAACCAACATCGCCAATGGCTTAAAAGGCAGACTGCGAGAATACAATGACTTGACAAACTCTCTCGTCCCAAAGGCTATGAGAGAAGCTCACGCTGCAGGGTTCCAGTTGAGTCACTCCACGTTACTGTGCTGGTGTCTCATCCCCGACGTGTTGGTTCAGTATAAGGCCCAGGCCCGCATCCTTCTCCATGAAGGACTGTTTCAGATGATTCTGTTTTGCCAGACTGTCACTAAGGCGGAGGCCTTGTGGCTGCCTCATGTACCATGGTCACGATCCCAAGTTCAATGGGAACCTCTTTGCCGACACACCTCTTGGAATGAGTTTGTAAGGGACGAATGTGACTTGACTCCCGAGCAACTCCAGGAGGTTGCAGAACTTCGAGCTGAATACACAAAGAAACGGAAGAATGCCAGCCGTGTGTTGTGGGCTGCCAATCACCGAGAACATATCAACGCTCAGCACATGGTCTACATCACAAACAATAGAGTCGCCGAAACGTACAAATGCACAACTTGCGGCTATGTGGCAGATAGCCCGTCTCTCCTCAAGATCCATGAAGAGACGCAGAAATGCCAGGCTCTCGCAGAGTCACTCCGTACTGGGATTCCCATCGTCAGATCAGAACTTGCAATCGTCACTGCTCAGACTGATGCCCAGGCAAAGTCACTCTCACTCTTTCGCTGCAAGATCTGCAACGTTTCATTCACCCGCCAGCATTCACTGAAAGGTCATTACAAGCACAATCCAAAACATCTCGCTAAAGAGAAAGAGATCATCGACGCTGGAGGCACAATTGATCCTGAGATAGAAGCAATTCGCTCGTCTAGACGTTCAGCACCACCTGGCTCAAAGTTCCCCTGTGGTCTCTGCAAAACAAAGCCTTTCATAACCAAGTCTGCCTACGATTCTCATTGCCTCACTCCGCAGCACCTCAAAGCTGTGGCCTCTCAACGCACTATTTCGTCATTTTTCTCCTCTACACCGAAGGCTACCATTTGAGGAGTGACTCTCATTCCATTAACTCATGCTCTGCAACATTTTGTCCTTGATTAATTTGTCCTTTCAGTTGTCGCATACTCAACACATATGTACCCATACTAATCTGATTTTCTCAGGCGAGTGGTTCCGTGATAACGGCAAGCACTCTCTCGTCATCTATGACGATCTTTCTAAGCAGGCTGTCGCTTACCGACAGATGTCTCTGCTTCTCCGACGTCCCCCTGGACGTGAGGCTTACCCCGGTGACGTTTTCTACCTGCACTCTCGTCTGCTCGAGCGTGCCGCCAAGATGAACGACAAGCTCGGTGGTGGTTCCATGACTGCCCTTCCCGTCATTGAGACCCAGGGTGGTGATG